GTGTAGGGATGAGCACGACAGTACAGGTGAGCATGAAGGATGGATAATCTTCGGGGATTTTAGATTGGGAGCACAACAAAACACTAACACTCAGGGATTTGGGAATAGTCAGACGCCTGCTAATATCGATGATTCGTTTTTAGATCGAATCAATGAATTGTTAAACGAATTCAATCAACGGCACCAGCGTGACCAAGAAGAACAATAACGTCGTCTATCATTTTATTTTTAGATCATATGTTACTAATTTTATGCTTTATTGTAGTCCATGTATGTTAATATACTTATTCCATGATAATTCTATGTTTATCCTTTTGTGTGATGTAAACTAAATGCTGAATGGTGGTCCATGCAGGGAAAGAAGATATCAATATTCGCATATTCATTCAAAAACATGAAAATTCTTAATGGAGTACCCTCATTTCTTATTGAATTCTTAAAAAACTATATTTATAATGAATTTTAATAATTTTTTCGGATTTTTTTTAAGCTTTACTCTGACCGATTTACCCGATTCCCGATCATGATCGCCAATTCGCATATCCGGAACGGTTTTTTGGGAGCCCGATCTGGTCACCGATCTGTTTTTTAAACCATTGGTCAATAGTATTACGGCATTTTCGAGTGCCGTAACACAAATTCAACTTCTTACGGTAATAAAAATGAAGTATAATGTGGTTAGATCTTTACGGTATTTAAAGTACTGTAATATTACTTCAAGTTATTACGGTATTTTAAATACCGTATAAAATGCGATATGTATTATGGTAATACGACTACCATGAAAGTTATTTTGGTAAAAAAAAAAAAGTGAAAATGAAGAAAAATGATGTCGATGAGGTTTATGAAAGTTGGAGGTTTTTTTCAATTAGGCTAAAATTAAGATATATTTCTGATAATTTTCCTATTTTATATATAAATAAGCAATATGTTCAATATATTAGCAACCAATATTTTTAATATTATATATATATATATTATTTCTCTCTACACATCTCTATCTCTCTCCAGATTTCTCTATCTCCCCTTCATAAAAGCTTCTATAAAAATCTCTCATCACCTCCAAAATCTTTGGAGCGCTCTTTTTTTCTCCACCTCCTTTTTTCTCTCTCCGCTACGTATAAGCTTCTATGAAATATCTCATCTCTCCTAAAATCTCTCAATATCAAGAATATATATATATATAAATAATGATCATACGAGACCCTTCAATACTTATGTATGTAGGACGCAAAAGATTACCATTAAATTTGACACAGATCTTTAAAAAAGTAATCACTTGGGTGTGAAACTTGATTTTTATAAATATATGTACCAAATTTAATGATGATCATTTGGATTCCAACACATAAGTGTGAAAAGATCTTACAAGATCATTTCCCATATATATTTATATATACATATTCATTACGAATTCTATTACTTTTTATGTTGCTATCCATTTTTTTTAACATCCTTACCACCTAACATTCTATCTCATAAAATATGGAGATGTTATTCTTGTACCACCCAACCTTCTATCCCATAAAACACGGTGGTCGGTCTAATAAAAGGTTTAGTCCGTGAATTTTGGTCCAAATATTATTCCCGAGGGAGCATATTTACCGTATATCCTACCGTGGACCCAGAAGAAATCTTTTGGCTTTTCTTGTTATTTTGTCAGTGATTGGGTGGATTCCTCTCTCTCTACCTCGACACAGAGGTGGTTTTATGAGGCTCCCTCTCTCTCTCTAGTTTTATACTTCGTGAAGTCTCGCTCTACTTTCACATTGAGGAAAGTAGTTCTCTCTCTGTCTTTTTCTCTGATCTCACACTGGGTAAATTGGTTCTCTCTCTTTCTAGTTTCTTTTTCTTTTCTACGGGGTGGTAATTCTTTTATATCTTTCTGTTCTCGCGCTGAGTAAAGTTTCTCTCTCTATGGTCACACTGACTACTCTCCGTGTGTGTAAAGTGGTTCTCTGTCAATTGATCTCTCTCTCATGAGAGAGAGAAAATGTCGGCCAGCAAGGACTTGGACGATGGGAGCACGCTAAGGGAGTCTGAAATAACGGAAGCTCTTATCTCCAAAGAGAAGAGCACTGCTGTTTTGATTGCTTCTAATTCTAGTGGCAATGATGGTAAAGGATCGATTTTGGTGGTTATTCTCAGTACCTTTGTCGCAGTTTCTGGTTCTTTTGAATTTGGTTCAGCTGTAAGTGTTCTTGGGAAAATGGATTCCTTGATTTTCGATGAGCTCTCTCTTGTAGATATTTGGGCTTCAAATCTCTATGGTCTCTCGTTATGTTTGAGTTTAATGGAGCTTTGAGGAGTGATTTCAGGTGGGGTTTTCATCTCCAACTCAATCAGCAATCAGGAGTGACCTTGGTCTTTCTTTATCTGAGGTGATTTGCTTATTGCTCTGTCTCTCTCTCTCTATCTCTATGCTTGGAAATCTTCCGAAATTTTAACTTTTTCCTAGTTGGCCCGGAGTAAATATTTGATCTATTTGGTTGAATTCAATCTGAGACCTTGTCTCAAATTTGTCAAAAATATTTAGAATCATCTACTAATTCAAAATTAAAAAGAAGAGAAGATTCAGAATCATCTCTCTCTTGTCTACGTATTTGTTCTTTTTGTAAGGCCTATTCACGCTTCTTTGCAGTTTGGTTGGAAATCACCAAAAACTAATTCATTTTGCATATTCCATCCTTTTCTTCTTTCACCTTTCTGTTTCTCTCTCTTTCTATGAGATCAATATTGTTTCTCATATGCCTAATTGTCAGGAACTCATCCATTTTGGCATATTTCAACTTTTTTTTTTTATGTTTCTTTTTCTCCGTTTTCATAAGAATAGTATTGTTTCTCCATGCTTAATCTTTCTCAAAGCTTTGTGATAATACATTGAAGCCTCAGTCAGGACTCCTTAGCAAATTTGTACTGAATCTCTAGGCTTGTTGCACTTAAGAAATGGTTTCTCTTCTTCACCCAAAATTGTTGCATCAGAAGAGAGCGGTAGAAACTAGAAAAACCACTCTTAGTTTTGATTAAAAGTTGAAACTGTAATCTATTTGTAGGATTTTAGATTTATAATGGATAGCACTGTCAACAAAAAACATGAACTACTCAGGCTTTATATGGAAACTGCAGTATGCTTGGGGATGTGATGGGAGTGTCTGACAGGCCAAGCTCATAAGTGGCCTTTTAGATACGACACATTTGTACATCGCGTAAAGCAAGGGGAAGCAGGATTTTAGGTGACATTGAGTACTAATTTTGCTATGATTTCAAGAAGAAAGGCTAAGAATAAATATTTAGGTTTCTAAAATATCCAGACATGTTTTATGTCCTTGGTGTGTCGATATGGGCAAAAAACCATGGGCAGGCATTCCGTCTTGCACCTTGAAGTAAAGAGAATAAAGTAAGAAGTTTCAGGTTTCATTTTGTGCAGTACTCTGTTTTTGGATCCATCTTGACAATCGGTTCAATGATTGGCGCAATAATGTGTGGAAGTTTAGCTGATTATGTTGGTCGCAAAGGGGTAAGTAATGTTACTAAGGAACAAAACCCTCTGGCTTTTGTTGAACTCTTACTACCTCTTATATTATATAACTGGTTTTGGTGAACAGGCAATGAGAATAGCAGCTGTCTTTTCCATCTTGGGATGGATAGCCATAAGCTTCTCCGAGGTTTGTTTTCTTCTCTCATGGTGATGGAGGCTTCTAAATGTGCTAGAAAAATATGAATCACTTTGAATTGGATGTATTGTCATTAACATGGCAAACTTATTCACATTTCACAAAAGAAATTACCTTATTCGTTCAACTTTCAAACCATTAACATCTGATTACACTAATTGGAATCATAAATGGATATTTGAACTCTCTCTGTTTTGAAAGGCTGCTTGGACGCTAGATATTGGACGACTATCCGTGGGTTATGGAATCGGCGTTCTTTCTTATGTGGTATGGTTAAAAGTACACTAAGATAGTCATTAAAGCAGTGAGAATTATATAATTCGTGCCATTATTTAATCACCATTGCTTTGAGGGTTCATTTTTCATTAAATTTCTCCAATAGGTTCCTGTATATATAGCTGAGATAACACCCAAGCATCTCAGAGGAGGCTTCACAACAGTGAACCAGGTAATTCAAGAGCTAAATGAGTATCACATGAAGTTAGGAGAACAAAGTTCGTGAGCATAAATCACATTTATCCTGCAGCTAATGATCATCATACTTGTCCTGCAGCTAATGATTGTATTTGGAGCATCAGTTGCATTCATATTGGGAACGATTTTGACTTGGCGCGTGTTGACAGTAACTGGTAATATCCTCTGCTATATCAAAAATTAGGTACCTTGTAGGTTTGTCCCTGGACACACCTATTCTAGTTTTGAAATCCATCTTTGAGATAGATTGAGGATCCAAACTTCACAGGTCTATCATCTCGAACACCACGATCATGACTATAAAACAAAAAAAGAATTTTAAACCTTAAACATGGTCAATCTTGTACCGTTTTTTGGACCAATCATTTCAATTCTTTAAGATCATAAGATTCACACAATTTTTGGAGCTCGAAATTCTTGTATATGAAGTAGAAATGGATTTGAAATGATTTAGGATGTGTTTTGGGAATTAAAACCCTTGAGAAGTACTCTGGAATCTGTACGCATGAGTCGCCAGACTCTTAAAAACTATTCAATCAAATGATCTAATAAAACTTTATATGCTTCTTATTTGTGGATATTCATGTGAGTAAAAATCATTTGAGATTTTTTTTAGTAGTCCAATAGCAGCATGTGGCAATAAATAACTACAGGAAAACCCACGTAAATCAGGTTTGGAAATGGATGCACGATGGCTAATGAATCACACCAGTAGACAAAGGATACAATTATGGAGCCATACAGAAAGTGGCAGGAAAAATCAAGCATACGGAAAGTAGTCATACGGTTCAATCATGGGCTTTGTGGTCCTGGTCCAAAGTAAAATGACCATGATCATTTTTTAAATGTTAAAAATGATCACTTTTCTTGGTTGAGTATTGAGAGACACCGATAGTGAGGTCTTGAGGACTAAAAGTATTAAGCATTTGTGGTATGAAATAAGCAGGGTTTCACCAGTTGATTTTTTAGCATTACAATTTATATTTTTCTCTGATCATTTTTATCATCATAGTCGTCAAAGCCTTTTCCCAACTAATTGGGGCCTGAACATTTTGATTTATATTTTTCATTTCCATGTGCAGGTATAGTTCCATGCCTAATATTACTTCTGGGTCTCTTTATTGTTCCTGAATCTCCTAGATGGCTGGTTTGTCATAACTCTACGTGATGTTGATCTCATGTTACATGAATCTTTCAAAATAATAAATTTAACATTTCACAAGAAAAGAAAGTAACCAAAGGAAATTCATGGTTCAGGCAAAATTAGGTCGACAACAAGAATTTGAAGTGGCCTTGCGGAGACTGCGTGGGAAAGAGGCCGATATTTCTGAGGAAGCAGTTGAAATTGAAGTTAGTAATCTATTGCCTCTCATTATCCACAATAAAGCTTATGTTAAATAACCAAAAAACTTGGGTGTCTAATAGGTGGTCGGGCTGACCGCCTACTAAATGTGATTGAGGCCCCTCATGCCCACAAGAAAAAAAATCATTGTTAGGGGGAAACTTTTGATCTGAAAATTTCAGATCCTCTTTAGTCATTCCCAATATCACTCTCATACCGCACACACACACACACAAAAACATGGATTTGGAGCTCAAAAAATGCTCCAAATTGATGCTTCCTCAAGGGTTCTAAGCTCTCCATTTTGGGGACTTATCAGATCTAGGGCTTTAAGAGCTCGAAAGCATTTCCTTTTTGGAATTGTCACAGGGTGAATCAAAGATGAATAAGGAATTTCCAACTAAAAAAAAACAATTTCCCCTATGTCTTGTTGGGGCTCAACCATAGGTGTTTTGGTAATCAACGTACCAGTCAATCTTTTTCCATTACAAAAAAAAAAAGAGAAAAAAGAAATAAAACACCGCATGTGTGTGTAATCTCTGACCATTTTTTTACAGGAATACATCAAAACTATTGACAGTCTTCCTCAAGTGACACTGATAGACTTGTTCCAAAGGAAATATGCACACCCACTCATTGTGAGCAATCTCAAAGCCTAATCCAGCCAATCTCCTGTTAAATATATTGTTGTCTTCATTATAGTGTTATGTTCCTGTACTGTTTTTCTGAACATTGTGTAATTTGCTATTCAACTTACAAACCCAACTCACGTTCAATTCCATGAGGTATTTCTCAAAAGAATAGAAAATGTCAATTGCTACTAGGTTGGTGCAGGCCTAATTGCACTGCAACAATTTGGTGGGTGCAATGGAATTGGATTCTACGCTAGTGAAACCTTCGTATCGGCAGGCAATGAACGCTATATCACACATTTTCTCTCTTTCACTAGTCTGTTTTTATGCCACAAGTTTAAGCGATTTAAATAATAACCCATGGTCTATTTCATATATTTTCAGGATTTTCAAGCACAGTTGGGACTATAGCCATGGCCTCAATCCAGGTTTCCAAACTTTCATGTCATGGGCTTAACTACCTTTTTAGTGGCATTTACGTATGAAAGATGGTGTTGTTTTACAGGTTCCAATAACAGCGGTGGGTGCACTTTTGATGGATAATTGTGGGAGGCGACCGCTTTTACTGGCAAGCACTACAAAATGATAACAAAAGAATGAGAATTTGTTGGTGCTGATAAAAAAATAAATAAATCAGATTTTTTTCTAAATTTTGAATGTCGTTTCATTGGTTATTATAAGCTCACTATGAACAGTATTGAGTTTCAGATATCAGCAACTGGAACATGCATGGGTTGCCTTCTAGTAGCAATATCATTTGTATTGGAGGTAAATGAAATACATATAGGGAAATTATAGGATAAGACCATTTTACCTCTCGTATGAAAAGGACACAATCGCTCCTTTCACATATGAAATCGGACGGCTGGGGTTGTACCTATGTTCAAAGTCCACATAAAGTTTTCCGTGGATTTTATGCGGGGAAATGACACACACCAGATGTTTGATTTACATCTAACATCTTTGAGTGGTTGTGACCTATGCATACGAAAGGTAATGGTCTCATTGTATACAATACCATAAATACATTATTGTAACATCTCAACATAACATAATTCCTCTAGTCCTTTCCACACATGAAGAGCTTTGGGTTTTACTGAATAATTTATGTTCATTTTATGATGCAGGCCCATGACTCTTTAACGAAACTGTCTCCAATACTAGCTCTTTCTGGCATACTGGTAATCTTAAAATCCTTGAAAGAAAATTTCTCAAAGAAGGATGGTATATTTGATGAATCTTAATCTTTTGTTTATTGATTCAAGGTTTTTTCCGCTTCTTTCTCAATTGGCATGGGCGGGATACCCTGGGTCTTGATGTCTGAGGTAGTCTCCAACAGCACACCCAAAAATAACCCAATGAAGTTCTTATGGAGAGAGATATATATATCATGCCATCCATTTGAGTTTATTTTGATTTGAAGAAGAAATAAACAAATGCTGGGGGTGGCAATGGTTCAGGTCCGGGTCCGGGTACCAAAAAATTTATGGGATTCGGACCCGACCATATTTGATTGGACCTAACCCAAAAATAAATATAAAAATAAATAAATAAATAAATATATATATATAGAGCCTACTTCAAAACATTATCTAGAAGAGGTTTTTTTGATGCCCGAATGTCATCAAATTGATCATCTCGACAACAAGATGCATGGATATGAGAAAAAAATGAATTTCAAATTTTGAAAATAGTGTATTTTGTAACGCATTTTTGGGCTGTCAATTTTCAAGATTTTCATAGATCTAATCGATCTACAATATTTTTGAAGCTTTAAACTTTATAACTAAATATGAAAATATATTTTAAGGCTATCCCAAAGATTTCCATTATTGAAACCATATTTCGCGAAACTATTTGAAGGTGG